AAGAGCCCCCTTACACCCCTACATAGGGTCTAGAATAGTCTATGGTTCGTACATTTTTCAGAGTGCTGGCTAAAGAGGGGACAGGCCGTGCCACCAAGGACTGACGGTACAGCTGTCTCTTTCAGAGAGACCATGACGCATTGAGGCTGAACTTTAAGAAGGGAAGTGAGAGTACCTCCCCCGTCACACATCGTTATGGTCACATGTCATGATCACATGTCAGATCTTGTCACTGGTAACAGAATCATATTCGCGAATGAATATTAGAGAAAATAACAGAGCCAGGTGTGACCTGGTGTAAGTCTCGGGTGAGAATTAAGGGTATTTCCTTCCTCTCGGGGGGGAGGGAGGGGGGATTGATAAAAGCAAAGCTACACCATTTCTCAAGTTTCTCGTGAAACAGAAAATCCCCCAAAAGAAGTTCCCCCGCTGGCCATCAGTATATAACAAAGACCCTCTAAAAACTGTAATCAGTTCATTTATTTAGGTACAGAGAGCAAGTTGGGGAGGAATAAAGTATCCATTAATATCATTAACTCCTGGTCCATTCCTGGAGTGAAAAGCACAAGGTTCCAGGCAAGGTAGTCAGTCTCACACAATAAGCAATATTATAGAGATCCCATATAGTACAAGTGTGGGCTTGACGTAGTGGTTGAACCCCCAATGGCATCGACACTACAGCTGCGGAAAAAATGATAAATTTGCAGTCTTAAACCCCAGTTTAATTCTGGTTCTGCTGGCAGAAGGTTACCCTGAGCATCTGGATGCTTCAAGGTTCAAAATTTCTAAGAGCAGTACACAAGAATAAGGTTAAGCAGGAGACAATGGGAACAGCCAGAAACCAGATGGGTAAAGGGCAGAAGCAAGTTTCTAATGCCAGAGATGACCGATAGCTTGTCCAACAGGTTCTCATGAGTCATACGATGACATGAAGTGACCTTCAAAAGGAATGGGAAACATTAAGTGCAGCTGGGAAGTGCACTGCTAGGACAGTGTGTATCAGGCTCCTAGAAGCAGGACTGAAGTCCCATGAAGCAAGGAAGAAGTCCTTCATTAATGAGAAGCAGGGAAGAGCCAGGCTGCAGTTTGCAAAATAAAAAAAACATTATTCACAGATGCACACCCATAAATTGAGAAAGGAGAGAAAAAATTGCGCTGTGGTCGCTTAATTTTTTCCAAGGCTGTATATTGTACAGGTCAGAATTCCGATGAGCACCTGCATGAAACTGCTGTTTTCCTCTTAATTACCTACACAGAGAAACTGGAAGTCTGGGTATGAAAATCTGTCTTATTGACTGATATATTTGGGTCCATCCTCCATGTTTTTGTAAGACACAGAGAGGATGAGTTCTGCACGTGTGATTCCTACTGCCAGGCACAGGACAGGCAGTACCATGGTCAGGAGTAACTTTGCTGGCAACACTTGGGCTTCACCAAACCCAAGGCAACCTCGACCAGCAGAGCATCCGCAGTATTCTTGAAAGTCATGTCATTCCATCACTATAGAACGATGATGTTCCAAAACACTTAAAAGCACTTAAAATTGTTCATGAACTATCTGGCAAAGAATAAAAGTGAAGGACAACTCATGATGAATCGTGATGAATCACCAGACCCGCCTGGTTTCCCAAATCTGCAGAATTTCCATGTCTAGACCAAAAACCAATGGCAAGCAACACCCTACATCTCTGGAGAATCACTGGGAAGACAATGGCAATAATATCCTCCTGAAACTTGTTGACCAGTTGTCTCATGTTGTTGAAACTGTTATTAAAGGAAATTGTGGCTATTTTGAGGAATCTACAGTATAGAGATAACAACACTCTAGTATACTGTACAATATCACCGTGTGGTTTTGGATGGTAGGAGGAAACTGGACTACTCAGAGGAATTTCAAATGAACTTGGGCATTGCACACTGACGACATCTAATTGGTGGAAAATGTATATGGGGACTTTTGACATTTCTGGAAAACAGCGTTTCTTTGAGTGGTAAATGAGTTAGTGATAGATTGTTGTACTTTTTGTTGTTCATTTCCTTTAGAGAGATGCCTGAAACAATGGGGATGGGCTGGGATTAAAAACTGGCCCTGGACTGCTTGTACAGGTCCATCACACATAAATACTTAAGATAAAATTTGATTGTGGGGGGGAGAGACACCCCCCACAACAAATATTAACGGCCCATAACCTCATTGGCCCACCAGGAAAAAGCTCGGCCTGACGGTCGGCCATTCCAGTTCTGGTGGGGATCGCCACTGAACTGTATTTGCGGAGTTTGCATGCTCTCCTTATATCACGTGGATTTCTTCCATCAGTCCAGAGACATACTGTTAGGCTAATTAATCGCTCTAAATAACCTATGCGGTGCGTGTGCCCTGCGACGGACTGGCATCCCGTCCAGAGTGTATCCCTGTCGTGTGCCCTGTGACGGACTGGCATCCCGTCCAGGCTGAACCCTTGTCTTATGCCCTGTGCTGCCTGGGTTGGACTTCAGGAGACCCAAACCACGGTAAGGATTAAGAGCATTGGCAAGATACAAGCCTGCAGAATGAACAGTATGAAAATAAAAATCAGGTTTTGCTTTCTTCAGTAAGTACTGAGCCATGGTCAGAGCACAGCAGATCATATGTATTTACTGTATGTCTCAGAGACTGCATTGAAGAGTTTCTGGAGGTCCAAGCTATATATTTCTTTTATAAAAGAAGGTCAGTGACCCAGGTAAAAATAAACAGAAGAGTATTCAGGTATGAATTCTGGGCCCCGAGACTAAGAGTTAACAGTCTTCAGATCTTTTCTTTTAAAGTCAAAATGTATCAGATTTCACCCCTCTCTCATCAAGGCTTCACCCAGCATAGTATCATGGGGATTCTGTGGCCTGTCCTGGGTGGAATGCCGCTCCATCGCAGGGCACGCACTCACAATTATACAAAATGGACAATTATCTCTCTGTAGGTGAGAGCAAGCTGGCCATGAAGAGCAGCCACCCATAGCAACACTCAGGGAGCTGGGGGTTAAGGGCCTCGTTCAAGGATCTACAGATGTGCTGAGGCCAGACTTAAACCGGCAACCTTCTGAACACAGGCACAGAGGCTTAGCCCACTGATCCACATGCTGCCCCCCCATGGCCCCCCACGTCTTTGCTCAGCAGGAAGAAACATGAACACAGAGAAACCATACAATCTCCACGCACACAGAGCCAGGGGCTGGGATTCAATTCCAATCCCTGAAGATGCGAGACTCTATGGCTACCTGATAATCCACTGTGCCTATTTACAGTCTTTCCATAACATTTGCAAAACAGGAAGTGCATTTCTCAAAACAATTCATACGAACAGAACAAACATTGCATTTCTCAAAACAATTAATACAAACAAATTTCCTGCAAAACTTCATAACTCTCAAAATCAAATGTCAGTGCCAATAGATTGACAACTCCTTTGTCATTATTTACAAACATTAGTCAGAATGTTGTCAATAAAACTTATTTTCTGATGTAAAACTATGGCTATGGTTTTGATGACAACTTTCTGCATGACATATATCAATTTCAACAGTACAAAGTTACACATTTTTGATTGTACTCTAATTTGTTGACAAACCATGTTACTGCAATACAGAAAAGAAAAAGACATCACAGCACTACAAAGCACAAAGGAAAAAAAAAAAGCAAAATTAGAGATGCAAACTGAAATAGAACCACACATGCAGCGCTGTGAGGGGAATTACGGTACATTCTACATCTCCTGATGTTCCGGCCCGTCAGGCCACAGATTCTCATTCGCATCACAATCGACGTCTCCCCTTGCAGTGCAGCGTGGAAAGAGTCTTTTGGAAGGTTATATCCAACCTCTGCAGCCATCTGCTCTGATGTCTTCACATGCTGCGTGAATGGCAGCCCACAGGGTCATCTGGGTATGTGGCTGGCGATCGTAAGCCTTCCACCTCCATGCTGAGTAGAGCTCCTCAGTCAGGTTAAGGAACGTTGTATTTTTTCATTGACGGAAATCGTAACACTGTGTTTTGCCCTGTATATGCTTGACAACTGAAGGTTCATGAGATGCACTTCTGAGCTGTTTCAGAGAATTCGATTGATCTAATGCTTCAAACACCCCTCCAACGGTGAAAGTCAACAAGACAAATTCATCAATTCGGGACACATTTGCAAAAAAGCCTAATATAAATGTACAGAAAATGTTCTTAATGGGTGATTGCAACTGATTTAACCATTTTGCATGTAATGCCAAGATGGTGTGAGATTATCCAATAGAGATCCACTATAATATATTTCCATCAACATGTGATGAGCAATTAATAGTGTAGGAAACAGCAGACAATTGTACACAATCATTTACATGACTGTGCCGAAGCATTTGCAATTTATTCAAAAGAACGAGACATTGTTTATATGATGTGCACAAGTGACTCAGTAATGTGGAGGCTGGATAAGTAGTTTTGAGAATTTAAATTCTGAATTGAGAAATGTACTAAAGAGACTGAAAAAAAAACCCTGTAATTACAGTGTTTTTTCTTGTTTTAGTTAAATCCTTTACTTGCAAATACGCTATTTAATTTGCTTCAAATGCCCCTTTTCTTTAATTATATGAATTTGTTCGTATTGTGCATGTTCATCTTAAAACTACTTATCTGGTTCAGGAGTGCAGGGGGGGGGCAAGGGTCTATCCCAGTAAACACAGAGCACGCGCGCGCATTAAGAACATCAGAGGCCGTCCATAGTATCTGTCACGGTTCTTTGGGAAAGATTTCCCTCTACTGGGGAAAATGTAGCAGTACATGACGAAAATCTTCGTTAATTTCTTGGAATATTTTGTATTTTTTTTTAACAACGCGGACATTAAATACATACATTTAACAAGCCGAAACGGTAAACGGCATTACTGGCGTATTCTAATAGTTTTGCTAATACAAATCATCATATGGGGAAGTAAATCATAAATACAAATAAAGTCAACGTATTTCTTTATCTTAAAGTTGATGTTATTGAGCGATGCGTCACGTGTAAATGCTTTTAAGCTCATTATTACCATGTCACGCCTAGAGATCACTAAAATCTGATGTGGCACATTGGCTGCGCTTTACTGAGCCAGGTACTGTCTTCCCCTTATGCTCGCTTCTGTCTATTCACAAGAAGAAGGAAGTCAGACAAGTTGTGCTTCGGCAACAGGGTTAAATAAACGACTCCTTGTATTTTTAAGTGCACGTCGCGGGAAACGGATCGTATCCAGAAGAAAAATCAAGTGTCTAGTCCATTGCGAATTAAAGAGTGGACAAGATCAGGCCGAAAGCTGAATCAATGAAAACCCCAAAATGATGGACAGCAAATCGGCTCTCGGAGTGCCGCAGGTAGGGAATCACTGAATCCAGTTTTATTAAACAGTGTAAAAAGGGAATACTATATATGTAGTCCTCTTTTTCCTCATTTTGCTTTTTTATTTGATGTAATTATTTGCACTGGTTAAATGTGCTTTTGCTTTTAAGTTTTAATATAGGCTATGACTCATGCTAAATATGTTACTTAAAACGTAAACATGGCATATTTGTTATTAACGAAAAATTACAAACATAAAAAAAACAAAATATTTTTGGAAACCAAGAGGAATCGTATCACTAAAAAATCAGGGCAGAGTATCAGGGACATTCCAGCGCACAGCCGACAGTCACGGAGGACAGTTAAGGTAACAGGCGAGGCCGCCAGATTTTAGGACGGCTACGATATTAATGTATAAACTATAAGTCAGTGGAGTAAGCAATCTTCTTTGTCCATTTGTGAATTCATCACACAGCACATTAAACTGGTTCCTCATCAAAAGCTCATATCCCTTGGCAAAATAAAATACAGAGTAAAATATATAGATTATGAGAGGATGATGATGAGGATGAGGTCACTTTGCACTTTAAGCTCTTTTTGCACTATTTTTCTCAAGTATGCTCTTTTGTACTTGTAATTTTATTTAACCTGGCATTTGTGAGTGGACAGCAAAGTAAGAATTTCATTGTACTGAGAAATACTACTTTTCTGTACATATGATAATAAACACTTTGAATCTTGAATTGAATGAATTGATGGACTGTTCTGATTTCTTCCAGCCTGGCAAAGTCTCTATACCTTAGAATAGGAGACTGTGATGCTGTGACAGTTAAACACAGCTCTTAGAGAATATCCCTGTCTGACCCAAAAGCATGTAATGAGGTGTTGTGTTCTTTGGTACTGTAACTTCCATGTCTTGATGGTTGTGGGTTCAAATCCTACGGGCAGCAGTGTAGTCCTATCACCGGTGGCCCCCTGAGTGGGCCCCCTATCCCCAGCCGCTCTTGGAACTCCGCCTGTCTGACCACAAGCTTTTCATTTGGACCAAAGTGTCTGTTTATTACATGCCACACTGAGGAAGTGAGAGGAGAAGAGAGGGGTGGGGTGGGGTGGGGTGGGGGGGGGTCCTTAGGGTGCTTCTTGTTTGCTTAATTTATTTTGCAATGGCTCAGAGGCAATTTTATAATTATTTGTCCCTCCATCAGCATCTCGAACGCTGAACGTCTTTCCACGTTTATGCGCTGAGGAATGTTTTTCCCGATTGACCCTCTTGCCTTGACCATTCTCAGCTCAGCAATGAGATGCAGCTCAAGATCATGAACAAAGTGAAGAGCGGCGAGTTAAGCATTGAGGACGCGCTGAAGCAAGCTGAGAACATTTGGGTAAGACCCTAATTATATCTCGAACATGTGCTGCACACTGCAGCTTTGTTTTTTTTCCTTTGTTTTCTTTTAAAGAATGTATTCATCTGGTCATTCAAGGTAGACGGGTAACATGATGTAACATGATCTGAAGGAGGAAGTCAGTCCGGTATTACTGGAAACATTTCCTTCTTGTGCCTTATAGCTCCTGCAAGACTATTTTTAGGTCAAGGTCTGAAAAACACTGAGCGTTAATTTACTTGAGGTTTCTCTGGCTATTCGTTATATACCTGGAAAAATGCTGATATGAAAATAATAGATAATAAAAAAATGGATTCTTGGCTTCTTGCTAGTAAAGCCCTACTTTGTTAAAGGTGAATAATTAATAAGGCCCCCTGCCCTGGGATATATTTTAGTTTATGAGCTATGTGTCCTAATTGTTTTCCACTGGTCTTTGCAGGGTTCACAGGAGAACTTCAGTGTGTACAAGTTCAACCGTTATCGCTGGCAGAAACGCATATTGCAGGTGATTGCTGGGGGTGGATTCACTCACAAGGCGTAACTTTGTTTGATCCTCCGGCTTTGATCCTAGTGCCCGGGACTCAAGTTATACAATAAAATCCAAATCTGAAGGTTAAATGACCTATTAAGTGCCATATTTTAAAAAGTCTGTTGTGTATATTTTCATAATCACTCAGATATCGCCCAGTCTATTGTGAAAGACGACTTGTGAAAGCACAACATACTGACAGTTTTGATAGATCCTACACATCTTGTATGTTGGATCATTCTCAAAAGAACAGCATAGTACCCGTATCAGTATTCCCCACCAGCCACAAACCACATGCTTTGGAGTTTTTGCCTGTAATGAGCCTAATTTAGTTGTCATATAAAATTCAGATGATTAAAATGAAACAGATTGCAAATCAGGCATATTCATGTAGCAGTTTGCATTTTGTGAACAGCGGCTATAGGACAAGATCATTTATATAATCCCAAATCGGCAAAGCTACGTTTAGTTATAGTTGTGAATTAGGTGTCTTAGTTATGAGTCTGATTGGGCCTTCCTGTCGCCTAGATTGACTTTAACACTAAGATGGTGTGCAGCATTGAGAAGGGCATCGTGAAGCGTCAGATACCATTCTTCGAGGTGAAGGGCTGCAATGACGGTCCGGGAGCCAAGTTCTCTGTCTTGTTCCGTGGCCGACCAGAATACGAGCTGGAGGCGTCTTCGCTGGAGGACAAGTACAAGGTAGTGTTGTGTCCCGGTAACACCATGTCTGTCCGTGAATTTATTACCTTCAGACAAATGGCCTGCAGAACAACCTGTCTGTGTATTTCCCTTGGCTAATAATTACTTTAGTTTCCTCTCAATAATAAAGTTCTTAGGGATACAAAAGATGTTATATTACATCAGTGTTTCTCAGCCTAGTTCTTGCAGACCCCTAGAAAGTCCACATTTTTGCTCCCTTCCAGACAGTCCACATTTTTGCTCCCTTCCAGACAGTCCACATTTTTGCTCCCTTCCAGACAGTCCACATTTTTGTTCCCTTCCAGCTCTCCTGGACTAAACAATCAAGAACACTGAATACCTAGCACAGTTGTGCTGGGAGTTGGGAGGGAGTAAAATATGGACTGTCTGGGGATTTCCTAGGACTGGGTTGACAAACAATGCATTACATCATTGAAGATCGGAGTGTGTGGTGCTCTGATTCCTTCTAGCCTGGCAGACTTGTGGGCAAGATCTCTGGACCAGCCTGGATGTTTTTTTGGTTTTCTGTGTTTCAGATCATGCAGCTAGTAAACAGGATCATACAAGGGAACATAAATGACATTGGTGGACAGCTACAGACCGCAGAGCAACTGTCTCCACCCAGAAGCCTTCACCAGGGGCAGCTGTATCTGCAAAGAGGTGGCTTGGCCTCATTCAGATGGGTGAAGTATGGACCTATTAGCTTTTCTTCCCCCTCTGAAATCTCACATTTTATGGTTGGTTTAAATAGTAGCTGATAACATTGTCAGTTCATAAATACATTATTTGATGATTGCGCCACGTTAAGGGGAACTGAGAATTATGGTTCACGCTGGTCCATAGAGTCAAGGGCTTTTCATTAAACGCTCAGATCTTCTTTGTTCCGTTTCTGCAGATATAACATGATTCTGTGGTCTTATAACTCCAGGAGAGCGGTAGTGTCTCTCACGTGATGTGCCAGGATAGCAGAAGAAGGATAGTGGAAATGAGAACACGATTGAACGTATAATTGTTCTGCATCAATCAGCAAGGCCTCCTGCAGGTTCTGCTTTTGTTTTCTGTGCTGATGAGCGTTTCGATCAGGGAGATCAGGGCCTCTCTTATCTGCCAGGTACACGGCCCAACTTTACGAGTCCCAGCTGACCCTGCTGCCCACGGGACAGCAAATGGCCGCCAGCGGCGACGGCTGCACCTCCCCACCCCTGCCCTTCATCATCCACTTCTCGGACGGCAATGCCAGAGTGGAGAAGCCGCGCAGCTGCGACACCTTCTCTGTGCTCACAAGGGTTAACGAGTATCTGTGAGTAGTCTGACTGCATCAATAGTGCATTCTTACATACGGAAATGAAAATCATCAAGAATGCGTTGGAATTCTGGGTTCTAAATTACCAAACAACAAGGAATGGACATGATGATCTTAATACCAGGTTAGGCCATAGAGACCAGTCCACAGTTGGCATCAGGGTTGTGTCATGACTTGACTGACTGGATGTTCAAGTTCAACAGGCCTTACCTGGTATTGTACTGTACTATTCCAGGCCATAGACTTATCACATAAGAACAGTCTGTGCACAATAGTCAACTTTACACACACTCTTATTTATTTAGCAGACTTTTTTTTTATCCAAAGCCAAATAAAACTGAGAAGACAGGGTCTGATAGTCCCTGGAGCTATTGGGAATCAAGGACCCTGCTCAGGAGCTCGATGATGTAATCACCATGCCAACCTTCCGATGACAGACCCAGCCCAATGACTCACTGAGCCGTAAACGAGTAGCATAACACGTCAGTATAACATGTCAGAACATGCACTGCGAAGGTATTTATAGTGCATTATAGATGAAAGATTCATAGAGCATTCATAATGCATAATAAACATGGCTATAACGTGTCTTTTTATAAATAGTTATAGCCATGTTTTTAATGCTTTATAAATGCATTATAATGTATTATAAAGGCATTATAATGCATTAAAATGCATTACACATGAGTGGTTTAAGTAAAGTGTTACCTTTACAATTTTAGTACCTGAATGTAACCTGAATGTAACTTTCTATATGTCATAGTCTTGGTTCATTGTTTTAAAATCGTGACTGAGTGATCCAAGAGTTGCAATTTACTTGTATTTCTGTACCTGTTCAAACGGCAAATAAAGTCTCAGTTCAATTCAGTGCAATGCCATAACGTCCACCCTGGTCCAAAGTGCAACTACAAGAAACAATGAGGGGAACACTGCTTCATTGGTTGGGGTGAACATGTGTCACATGTTATGGGCTGGTCCACAGGTTCCGGGTTCCTGTAATGGATGAGATGAAGAGTGCAGATGCCGTCATGATCGAACGAGACAAGTGGGTGCAAGACATCGATCGGCAGTGTGTGGCCTGGAGACGCTGTTCCCAGTCTGAGGATCAGACCATTTACGAGACCATCATGGAGGCGAAGAGACCTGAGGTTTCTGAGATGGACGGACTCAGGAAGTCCTTCGCCCTCCTGGTGGAGGAGGCCGAGTCTGTGGGCTCCTCCGATGAGGAGAAGAGCACGGACACGCTGACTCTGCCACCGGCGCCTCCGAGTCCCAAGCTGTGTGCTTCCCCAAAGCCCCCAGTGCTTGTGCCCGTTTTCCCCATGTCAGCACCACCCCCACCCACAGCCCCCGCTCCTCCCCCCTTTCCTAGCAAATCCAGCTCCAAGCCAATATCCAAGAGGACCAAAGCTTTTCACTGGGACCAGATCAACCAGGACAAAGTAATAAATGTCCCCTTCTATGACTTATAAAATGAACATTTTAGTGTATTAAAGGTAAATTGTTAGGAAACTAAAGATTTCTAAATTATTAAATATTCATGCAAATTTTGATGATACTTCCATCCATTTCATGCTGATCTTTCATTTGACCTTGCATGTACCGCGTGTGATTTTTGTTTTTGCTGTCTGATAGTCTGATGGGCTGTCCATCAGTGGCACCGACCTCTGTACCAGCTGACACTTTTTTTGTGTTCCATATAGCTCGGGAAGTCCCTTTGGACTCGCCGCGACCTGGGAAATGTGCAGATTGACACATCCCGGCTCTACGAGCAATTTGGCACCCAGGATTTTGTGTATGCCGGAGGGCTAGAGTCCAACAGCAATCTGCAGATCATGCTAAACCAGAAAGTAGCCCACAACTTCAGTAAGTTTACAGCCGCCTCCTTCAGCAGAAATTCAGCTCTCTATTCAAATGATATCCCTCCCAAAATATAATGTTTGTGTTTTGTATTCTGTGAGAACATAGATTTTGCTATTTATTTGCTATCTATTTGAGATATATACACACACACACGCGCACATGTAGGGTAAATATATCCTTATGGGGACCGCTCATTCATTTCAATGGGAAAAATGCTAACGCTAACTATGACAACCTTAACCTCTACCCTGCCCTAACCATAACCATAAGTAACCTAACAAAATACAAGAGTTTTTGCATTTTTAGTGTTTTTCATAGCAGTCACCAATTTTTATAAAATAGAGTTTTCCCTTATGGGGACCGGTTTCCTGCAGGATATTTATCACGTTATGGGGACATTATGTCCCCATAAGGATAGGTAAACCCGCTCGCACACACACACACACATACACAGACATATACACTCACCTAAAGGATTATTAGGAACACCTGTTCAATTTCTCATTAATGCAATTATCTAATCAACCAACCACATGGCAGTTGCCTCAATGCATTTAGGGGTGTGGTCCTGGTCAAGACAATCTCCTGAACTCCAAACTGAATGTCAGAATGGGAAAGAAAGGTGATTTAAGCAATTTTG